CAAGTTGCTCACGGGCCTAAAATTCATAAAGGTAGCTTCAATACCAATTTTCTTCAAGAGTGGATGAACAAGTGCTTCTTTCCAGCTAAGCGAAAAACAACCAGATTGAAGTGAGAGATTGATAATTCTTGTTATTAGAGGTACTGTAGTAATGCATTGATCATTGGCACTGGATCAAGGTGGCACGTCTTTAACGAAGAACGGCTAATTAATACCTTAGCATCAGGTTCAGAAAGGGGAGTAAACTCGGAGAATTACTGCGGGACATTTGATTCGGTCTCAGGAAAAGCAATTTGTGGGTCATCAGGGAGACTGGACAACTCATTATTATCTAATTGGCTACGTATATTTGTGATCTTTTGTTCAAAATATTTGCCCATGTCACTGACAAAAGACTTACAATCCAAATTAGGAGGAAGGCCATCATCGTCATGTTGACCAAATAAACACTTACTGTACATGTTTTAAACAGTTTTCTTTGCTCACCCTTGTTCTCTTCAACGATGTTCGCATAATACTCCGTTTGGGCTGTAGCAATTAATCGATTTACCGCATTTCGTTTTATTTTAAGAATAGAAAAATCACTCTGCAACTTAGCTAATCGCCACTTTCTCTCTGCTTTTCGTCTTTCTCGCTTTGCCTTCCTGAGTTGCTCATTAAACCAAGGTACCCGTGGTCGTTTTACTATGATCTTAGTTTTAGATGGCGCATGTTTTTCCAAGACAGCCTCTAGAGTAGTATCATTGCAGGCAACCAAATCTTCTAGATCGTTCGGTGGTTTTGTGCATAGGTCGGATGCAGCAATGTCATGATTAAAAGATGATACATCAACCGATTTCCAAGTGACGCTTTCAACTGTTAATTCTGGCTTATCTGAATGAATCATGTATAACACAGAAGCATGGTCAGATATACATCGACCTATCCGAGGGAGCGCTTTGATTATCTTATGGGTTGTGATCAGGGGTTATGATCAGGTCGAGCGTATGTCCATCCATGGATATGGGTTGGGCCTGACATATATGCTGCTGAAGGCTGAAAGACTCCATCAAATCAGATCATTTAATCGCATCCGGGTAGTCCAAAATATCAGTATGAATATTAAAATCACCAACAATTAACAGTTGCTCGTTGGTCATAACTATTGACAAGAAAATAAGTAAATTCATGGAAAAATACATTTGTGGACACTTTGTGATTTTCAGAATGAGGTGGCCGGTAAATAATCACTACACGAAGTTTGGGCGCTGATTGCGACAACACACACCAGTCAGAGTATTCAAAAGACTCCGTTTCACCTGCACTAATCTTGACAGTAGAAAAAATAAGTACGCGACGCGTACATGTATCTGCGAAAAAACTTGATTCACATTTTCATCATTTATTAATTATTAAAAATATAATAGCAAATAAAATTTTAATGTCAAACATAGTACAAATCTAAAAAGGCTGTAGACAGCACGGAGGGCAGTAGGGGCAACTCAACCCCCCTCCCCGCCCCCCGCCGAGAAAATTTAACTACTTTTATGTGATTATGATTGTAACTCAGATAATTTGCAGTCAAAAAATAAAAATTTCATGCAAACAACAATTCGAAGTGTCTATTTAGTAAACTGTCACTTGTGAATCCATACCCATTTTCAAAACTTTATTGCAATCATATGAAGAAAAAGTTCTGTCACTTGTTGTTTACACTTGCCAACGTTAACTGTTGAGTAACATACACAAACTATTCGAGGAACATGCATTACTGTGGCAAAGAGTCAATCATACATCGAAGACCACTGAATAGTAGAAAATGTTTTGAAGGTCATGAGTGAAGTATATAATTCAATTCCAATCCTGTGCACAGTTAATGATATAGCAGACTGCTCGGTTTAACACAGCGTATCCACACAAAAACAATTTGTGTTGTGGGAGAATATTGGTTTGAGTAGAAGGTATCACAAGTTTAGTTTTGTACATTGTGTGCCATCGATCTGACCCATCCATATAATATGATTATTGTAGCTGTTATGTTATTATTCTTGCATTAATCTCTAGACAAAAACATTTATAAATTATGTTAGAAAGCAAAATAGCAATGAAATGAGGAGGGAGGGTGGGGATTCTTTTTTTTAGAATTTAAAAATGTTTGTAAACATTTTGTTTAATAATTATAAACTCTAATGTGTAAAACCAAAATGTATAAGTATTTTAACTGATAACATCGAACAGAGTTTAATACAGAAATACAGGACCAGGATTTAATTCAATATCTCCTGAGAACATTAGTTTCCTGTGACATTGTTCATTGACAAATATATTGCCTGCTATTCTTTGACTGTTTAAAATATCACACAACACAATGATTGTTTTACTGTATAAATATATAATAAAATAATAAATATGTGGTATTTGACTACTTACCAAATGAGGATAAGTTTCCATGTTGATAGATAACTTCGGAATAATATCGCAAGTAGAATGGCACGTGAAAACAAGACAAAATCAAGATATTTTTGAAGCCAAAATGTGAAAATGGTAAAGAATAACACGAGGCCAAACTACGCCCGTTCGTAGGTTAGATGCGGGCACGACATAAACAATTGATGTAAACTGATCGCTGATTGGCGTAAATTGGCTTAAATTATATAGGTTCGTCGCTGAATGGCTATGTGTTAACACACGGTACGGTACGGTCACGTTTGCGATAGCATATATATCTGCTTCGCAGATACAAAAACGTCTCCAAACAAAAGTGCAGTGCCATGTTCTGCTCCTCTGACCATAGCCCGTGAGAAACAAACTTAAAATCCATTCTATTTAAGGTGGTTCTAAGTTGTAGTTGTGACGTAATTACTGGAAAGATCTATTGCAATTGCATGTATAAATTATGTCATTGCCGAAAATAATCAGACTTTTAGTCACCGGGCGGGCGAAATATTTTGTCTGATGGCATGCTTATTTCAGAAACTGGTAACCACAATATATGAATTCGAATTGTATGCTCAGTTTTAAAGTTTTGATGGTGTAACTACCACACGAATATCTTTTATTCATCAGTCAAATCCAAGTGTGCCCCGCTCCCCCCCACCGTGGAACATTTTCCTATAAAGCACATTCCGGGGGTTGGGCATTTATAAGGATTACAAGGATTTGGAAGTTTTATGATCACCAATAACTTGATAGTAATATAAAACAAAACAATTTCAGTCCAGATGAGTTATTGATAGGAGCGCACCGGGTATAGTATCCGGCCGGATAGTGACAAAATCGTACTATCCGGTAACCGGCCGAATATTTACTATTATCCGGCCGGATACCGGATAATTTGTTTTTCATGAAGTGTACTAAATTTCCGTTAATTGAAAAATAAAAAACACTAAAAAAATTAAAACCCAAAAAAGGACATGTGAAAAAGCTAGCCACTGATATAATTAATTGAATTAATTAACTATTCGCAGCGTTTGGCGCCAAAAGCCATATTTATCCCATCGCTCAAAAACTTTCAGAAGTTTTCAGAAACACGTGAACGTTGGAAAAAGTTAAAAACAGATTTTTAATTAACCACAATTGATTATTTACTCAAGAATTAAAAAAAATAGTGTCACCTTCTTCTGCACCAATACGTGGATGACAAATATCCTTATAAATATATATTATATGTCAAGTATTCAAATTGATAAAATATCTGGTATCCGGCTGGATAATCCGGCCGGATTTTTTCAGATATCCGGCAAATCCGGTATCCGGCCGGATAGTAAAAATCACTATTCGGCGCACCCCTAGTTATTGAATAGATTTTATACCTTTTATGCCTGAAGAAGTTTCTTGTTTTATTTTTAAAACACCATTCACATTGAACCCAGGCATGATGTGCATCACAAACTTAGCTAAACAAATAATTTTTACATAGGACAAAAGAGCTGTTAGCTTTTCTTTGATACCTCTTAAGCCGGTTTTCTACTTCGCCCGTATCGTAGCGAAACGTACTGGTGAGCATGCGCAGATTGAAAAGAGGTTTATAAAACCACGTACTTCCGGTTGTATTCGCGTATCAAAATAAAAAGTTCGTCGCAAGTCAACTTTTTGGCGTACTACGGAAGTGCTAACCAATCAACATTCACGAAATTTTGAAATTTGAAAACGTTTTTGATACGTTACGGTACGATACGCTTGAAGTGGAAAACGGCCTTTAAACCGTAACGATGATAACGTAACGATACTCGTCAAATAAAAATTGTCGGTCAAAATCACTACGCATTGCAATTGCAATTGCAATGCATTATAATATGCAACTGCATTATAATATTATGTAAATTACTCTCTGACCAAAAATACAAAGTACTCGCCACTTTATTAGCTTCCAGTTTTGAAATATGCTTTAAGAGGAGATTTTTTTGTATGTTACGTAACACGTGCTCAAAACTAATGCGTATAATATATCACTTGAGGTTATGACTAAATTCAAAATTTTTATTTTTCGATACGTTTCTCAATCTGCAAACAAACTTAAAAAGTATGTTTAGTGTTTTATATGTAAAATATTGCTAAAATGAAGAGATTTTAGATGATCGATACGCCAAAGAGAAAATGATATCTGAAGTTCAGTAAGTTTTGCTTATATGGCTGTAAATATAGCGTCAATTTTAAAGCAACATTCATAATTGTATTTTAATTGACAATTTTTAACTATTATTTTATGTTTCTCAATCTCTACCGGAAGATGCATTTAAAAAGTTAGCTAACTCTATAAACTGGAGAATAAAGCTAAAACAAAGTAATTTTGAGAGGAACGCCAAAAAGATTTTAGGTTTTGAACACTTTTCATTGGAAATACGTGACATTGAAAAAAATTGCCTCTTAAATATATTGCCTGTACACGATATACAGTGGATAAAATTGCCCATTCTATAATTTCCGGGGTAAAACCAATGCAATCATTGATGAAATATTTTCGCTGTATTTTAGGGTTGTGTGGACAACTATTGACTGCAGGCTACATTCTGGCAGTAAATATGGCCAATCGTGAGCCAAAAAAAAGGAAGCGAGGACGACCTATACACAAGCTTTCTGTGATGCCATTTCTACTTGACCCTGATAACGTGGTCAAAAAAGTTACAAAAGAAATATGTTCAAAAGAAGCGATAATTCGGTTAATGCAGAATGGATATGGACCTCCTCAACCTGGTAATGGAGTGTTAAAATAATGAATACTTTCCGGCTTGAAATTTAAAATGTTTATAGCACTATCCAGTGGATTACTAGAAACTTGAAGTTTAATATCCAACCACGAAATCTAGTAATATCCCACATTTGGATAGTACTGTGTACTGAAACACTGAAACAAATGCAAAATGAGTTTTCAATTGTTATGAATTTGATATAATGAATCTGAGACTGATATATTTATGTCAAACTCGTTAATAATTCATGAGTTAATTAGCCCATATTGCTTTATTTTGCTCACATGATAGTACAGTACATTAATACTGGATACCTGGTGAAGTATATTTTGATCCAGTCCTAGGACTGGATCAAAATCAATTACAGTAAGTTCTTGGACTGGACTGGACTGGACTGCACCACCTCACTTGAAGTAGCAATTTATTTGAATGAGATGTCATTTCAAATCCTCCCAATTGGACTGGACTAGATTTCAAGTTCTCACAAATTGCGCTGGCAATTGGGTCCAGTCCTTATACAGGGTCCGTAGCGGTCTTTGAAACCCTTGAAAGTCTTTTGATTTGAATTCAAGTCTTTAAAGTCTTTGAAAAGTCTTTGAATTGTGTGAAAAAGCGAAGAAAGTCTTTAAAAGTCTTTAAATTATTTAGTGAGTATTTGATTATACAATTTCCTAGGTCTAGCTAATAAAAGATTGATTGAAGCAAGATTTTCGCAAATATCCACGAAAAGGTGCATTTTAGGACTCGCAATTTTTTGACAGCTGATTGTTCTCAAGTCTCAAAGATCTTTGAAAAGTCTTTGAAAATCTAGGCAGAAAAATCTTTGAAAGTATTTGAATATTTTGGTCTTGGAGACTATGAACCCTGTTATAGTCAGATTTCAAATATTACATAAAGGATTCATAAACAACAGAAAAAATACTGTATCTGTGGAGGACAGCAATTTGTTTAGTATCCGAATGGATACTAAGCTTGTGACAGTGACTACAAGTCACAGAGAGCCGTGAAAACTCCGGTTATTTTAGCTCCGACAGTCAAAACTCCTGCTTTGGCTCCGGCAAGGAAATTTCATATTAAAGGTACTGTAGAAGCAGGCGAAAGTATTTCAGTGTAGTTTCAGAATTTATTTTATTCTTTTTTGAGCTTTCTCCTTTACTTATCAAATATTCGTGCTTCGGTAGAAAGTAGGACCGCATGGCAGCATGGTATTTTCGCCCAAAAAAATGCATCAGGGTCAGCGGATTTTTGTATCAAAAGCGATAGCAATGCGCTTGCAGAATTTTAGAAGCCACGAATCGGATCGGAGCAAGTAATTAAACTTTATAGTAAGTTCAAATCATTCAACTTAATTTTTCCATTACCAAAAGTTCATTGACAGAAATATGAAATAATTTTTCAGAAACAGTATACTGTATATGCCCAGCATGTCCTCACGACCTCACCCTTATTTTAATGATAATGATCTATTAACCATATGCCTTATTTTAATGATAATAGTCAAAATAGAGCAAACGTAACCCCGACCCAACCCCCTACTCTAACCCTAATTTAATCTTAAAGGGGCAGTGTCACGGTTCTACTGCGCATCCAAAATATTCCCCAAACTTGAAAAACTGTCTGCCAGCAATTAATCAAGTTAGGAGTGAAATACGATATGCTATTTATAACCCTTTGTTATGCAGGACATCCTTGCTTTGTTTTAAAAATTGAAGGCTGCTGCATCTTTTCCAATCATGTAGCATTAATTTTAAACGTTTCTTTGCGCCGTTTATTTTAGCCAATCAGCGCTGTGACACTGCCCCTTTAATCTCACACTAATCTTGATGCTAATAGTCAAAATATCAAAAATCCTAATGGTTAACCTGGTGTTAGCATATGACGTTTCAAGCAACCAACATCAGGGTGATGTCAGACCTTCCAACTGTCGCACGTATTGCGTGAGACACACGCATTTGGCATCAGGTTTTTCAGGATTTTTTTTGAAGTACTGTAGGAAATATTAATAAAATATTTCTAAACCACTTGTTTTGCATTGACCAAAAAAACAGAGGTTATGAAGGTATGCCATTAGATATATGCTCAAATTTTCATTCACAATTTAATTGTATTTTTTTAAATAAATTTTATGATTGAAGTCTGACTGTTGACTGTTTCAATTAAAAATGTGCTTAAATTCAAAATAAATGTGCTTGTTTTAATTGCTGAAACCATATTTCTATGGCTTCATATCTAAAAATATTGGGGTGGCGTTTAGGGGGGATGTGCAAGATGTGAGGTGGATCCAGCAAGGTTTTTTCCAGGGGGTGCTGGGTCAGGCTTTGAGCAGCCGAGTGTTTCTTTATAATTCTTTAGGGGCTTGTGGGAGAGCATTCAAATGAATTGGCCTCTTAACGACTTGAGCGCAGAAGGCACAAGCTCCCTAGATAATTTTGAAAATTTGAACCTTACAAATGCCATTTCCTGCGATATGGGCATTCTATTATGAGCTTCAGTTTGACTTAAAAAAAGGAAAACCTTGGAAATTATGCCATATTTCTAAACGTCGCTCGCTAGAATGCGAAAGTGCGCAATCCGTAACCTTGAGTAAACAATAATTTCAAACATTGCTACTGATCACTGATTGTTGTGTGACAACAAGGAAGACACATGTCAAATTTATATTACTTAATCATTAGCATTAATCGATTGTTAATAACGATTAAGAGATTGTGAAAATTAACTTAATGGGAGCTGGTCTACAGTTTTTACGGCCATAGTTTGATCTCTTAATTCGTTTTTTAACAGATCATTGTACAAACACTGAGAAAGGCAAAGTGGAATTTTCATTTCAACTAACAAATGAAGAGTTCAAACAAAAGTTATATGAAATTTATCCCAAGTTAGAAAATGGGTGTTTTGTGTTCATGAAAGCTGGTAAACACAATACATTGGAGGAACTGGGCGCTGGCAGCTGCTGCTACCGATGTTACACTCCAGAAAATGTGTACCACAGTAATCCAGGACAAGGCCGTCTTTACATACGAAGAATTGCTGAGAATGAGGTATACCGTTGACTTGAAACTGTTTATTGCATGTTATATGGAAGCCTAGGCCAATGCAAACTGACCTGACGCAGGCTGGCGAATATAGCGGGATAGCCTACTAAGTGTGCCCTCGCGAGCTAGTGAGGGGATGTTCAGGCTAAAAACCGAAAACCCTCTGAAAAAACAACCCGAAAAAATAACTGAAAAACTATATCCCCAGGATGGAAAGAGCAACCAATTTTAAGAACTGTCAAGACAAGAAGATCGGGGTTTGGGCATTGAAAGATTCACAAAATAAACACAGTAAGCATTGTGTTTCCACAAACCAAAACATTTTTACTGGCAATGTTTTTATATTCTAGATATCGTCGTCGTGCAACCATGGAATGTCTCGCTTCAAAAGATTGTGCGGTATGGTTGCTGGTAGCCCGCAATTGTATATACCAATCTTACCAAAACCTGTTCTAGCAGTCCCTCCAAGTAATAGTGTTGTAGCTGAAAGTGAAAATGTGGTCACATCTACTGCCATGCCAACCAATTCTCAGTTATCAGCATCTGGTAACCTTAGAATGGAGTTGAGACCATTGTTGTGCAACACGCCACCACTAGATTTGTCATCATCGTCAATTGTTGTTGCTCATACTAAATCAACACTACCAGTTCAGAATTCTGGTAATATGGTAACACAAAAGCCATTGCCATCGTCAACTAGTACTTTTGTAAATGAATCAAGGTGCCCAGTTAGCGTTTCAGGGATTTCAACTACGCAAGGTCCATCGCCAGAGTTTGCTATAGATTCTGGAACTGAAACAAGACCATCATTTTACATTTCTGGTAATATGGTAACACAAAATCAGTTACCATTATCAGCTATTGTTCCTCAGACTGCGTCAACACCAGCGGTTCACAGTTCTGGTACTATTGTCACACAAAATCAGTTATCATTGTCAACCATTGTTTCCCAGGCTGCATCAAGCAAACCAGTTCAAAGTTCTGTTAATGTGGTACCACAAAGTCAGTTACCATTGTCAACTATTGATCCCCAGACTGCATCAACACCAGCAGTTCACAGTTCTGGTAATATGGTAACACAAAGTTATTTACCATTGTCAACTATTGTTTCCCAGACTGCATCAGGAACGCCAGTGAATGGTTTTGCTAGTATAGTACCACAAAGTCAGTTACCATTGTCAACTGTTGTTTCCCAGAATGCATTAGCACCATCACTGCAGAGTTCTGTCAGTGCGGTAACACAAAGTCAGCTACCAATGTTAGATACTGTTTCTCAGACTGCATCAAGCCAACCATTTCACAGTTACGTTAATATGGTACCACAAGGACAGGTAGCAATATCAACTATTCTTTCTGAGACTGCACTAAGACCACCAGTTAACAGTTCTGGTAATACGGCACTACATAGTCAGCTGCCATTAACAATTTATTCTGTAGATGATTGTTGGCTACCAGTTAACAATTCTGTAAATGCGGCAACACAAAATCGGTTACCTATAGCGACGTCGTCTGTTGCTGGGAATACATCAATGTCGGCAGTATTACAAAGTTCTGATAATATGGTCGGACAAAGTCAGTTACAAACATTTGCTTCTGGGACTGCGACACGCCAAGGTCAATTTTCCAGATCAGTTGGAGTTTCAGACAGATATTTGGAGCAACCTATGTTCAGCACATCTTCACAAATCGCCGCTGTTCAAGTTGAACAAGGTCCTAGAGCAATTTTGCAAGCTCGTGGAGTACCGCCGATCACTGATACCAATCGAAGTCTTGTTATTATTGGGAACACAAACATGTTGGAAGCAACAGACATTGGATCCCAAATGACAAATGAGGTCATGAGTGGCTTTCGTGATCCCAATATGCAGGTATCCAATTCAAATGTGACTCCACCCCTAAACCCTTCCGTTTCAGACAGATGGGTGCAGTCTCCTGGTTTGGCTACCTTGGCAGATGTTATTGAAATAGTGCAACGTGAACCGCGTGAAGAAGCTATAACCAGCATGGCAAACAGTTTGAACGTGCAGGTATGTTTGTATATTTATTTCTATTTGCTGTCCTTTAAAGAAAAGTTGGCATAATTTATGTAATAAGTTACACATTTCTATCGAACGTGTAAATAACATTTTGAGTGTAATAACTGTTCTGTTTGTACGTACCATTAAATTTGAACAGCGTAACTCTTTTTTGTTGGATATACGGTAATGAGCACCACATGTTTTCTGAGCGAGTTAATTAAGAACTTTTTAATACTTATTACCAGAAATTTGCGACAAAATGAAACCGCTTGTATGTATACTTATTTTCATATGACCCATATAACAATCGCCTTATGGCAATCCGGGTGCTCGGCTACTGTTTGCTGACCTCGCGATCAATAAAGGGCGTCGCCCCCTAACAACAACAACAACAACAACAACAACAACAACAACAACAACAACAACAACAACAACAACAACAACAACAACAACAACAACAACAACCACAACAACACCAACAACAACAACAACAACAACAACAACAACAACAACAACAACAACAACAACAACAAAAACAACAACAACAAAAACAACAACAACAACAACAACAACAAACAAAAACAACAACAACAACAACAAACAACAACAACAACAACAACAACAACAACAACAAACAACAACAACAACAACAACAACAACAACAACAACAACAACAACAACAACAACAACAACAACAACAACAATATTAGCAGGGATTGGGGACCGGATCCAAAATTGAAGGCCATTGTACATGGTTGATATGCAAATTAGCACAGGTGGCCATTTTGTCGCTAATTTCTGGTAGTATTTTGGGAATCTCATGATCACTCGATATAAATAGCCTATAAAAATCATAGTACAGTACAATAATTTATATAAGAATCTTTACTGTATCAAAAAAGACAATTTCGAATTTACCAGTAAAGTATTTGGGGACTGAAGCGAAATAGTCGGCAAAAGTCATTTTATAATAAATAACAATTATTCGCCGAAGGCAAAGTGATTACCGGTGAATATTCACCGAGCCGAAGTTGAGGTGAATATTCACCGTAATCACTGAGCCTTTTCGGCCTGTCCACGGTTACTGTCACTAATAGTGTTGCAGTGTTTCTTGTACGCACACGCTTTCAAAATGGCTTCTTGTGTGACTTTATTGCTGTATTACAAAGTTGTGTTTTTCTCGATTTCTGCTTAGAATATAAATACACTAACGGAATGAATAATTCTAAGGAATTAAAAAATAGTTTCTGTTTAGAATTAATTTTTTCAGGAAATGGCTGAGAAATTTGGTAAAATGAAATGTAAAACTATATTGTTTGAAGTAAAATTTTAATAACGCTTTTCACTTTACAAGTTTCGAAAACACAACACAGTGGTCAGAACACCGTACAGCACAAGGAAAACATGACATATCAAAAGAAATAGTGTCGTACAAATTGAGAAACCTATAGGATACAAAACAAAATGAATTTAAAAGAAAATCACGGCAAGGTTTTCCCAACAGTCGGGATAGTTTTTGCTATTTGTTCAAACAGCAAAAACTGTTAATGCTTCGGAGATATAAATAAGTTTTAAATTGTCCGTGAATATGTTTGGCACAGTAAAATAATAAAGGAATCCTATACCTTTCAAGTTAAATACAACATTTTGTGCTTTTTTCGTTTTCTGGGGACGATTTTTTCAATATTTCGTCGATTTTTAAACCAAATTTTCTGAATCATTCTTTTTGAAAAGCATTATTTACTAGTGAGGTAGTAAATAATGCGTCAGATTTACTAGACAATCAGAACGCGCGAAAATTCATTTGATATGCAAAATTTATACTAAAACGTGCATGTTATTCAATACATTTAATACAATATAATGTAGTGTTATCGCCTATAACAATTATTCCTTAGGCCGCACTGCAAACTTCATTGTACTCTCCCTCATTTCTATTCACAACACCTTGGCAGATATGTGAACCCTTTTAAGGCCTTTAAGGGACCAGTCTTTATTTATGGGGTGGGGGGGGGGGGCATCGAAGAAAAATGTTTTTCTTGGTACAATTTTGCTGATCCAACCATTAAAAAGTGAAACTTTTTTTACCCAACCTCAAATATCAGTTAATAATAAATACCCACCGCCGGCCAAAAACGTTAAGAAGGATACCATTCAGCTGTCACACATGTCCTTTAACACTTCTGTGGCATGAGCTTGATTGTGCAATTTTCAGCAGTTTAAAGTTTCATGATGTTTGCACATGCACTTTCTTTCGAGACACCGTTCGCCTTGCATGCGAGAAATCGGAAAGTGATCAAGATAGTGCCTCTGATTGATTGATTGATTTACATATTGTATTGACATATTACTGTTAACATTGATTTTTAGTCATGCTTTGGAAATGACAATAAAAGAAGCATAGACCTGGAAAGGTCTATGTTGTTTTACACAGTGTTTTACTTACTGTACATCGTGTTCATCTTATATTAACAGGGAAACGTGGATTTACCAGAACTAGAAGAATGTAAGTTAGAATTACTTTTCTAAAATTATTTTGTTTACAGTTTTTTAGCCCCGTACTAATTTTATAAGTATGCGCAGACCTTCACAAGAACTGAGGGTCGGTGGTTAGGCAAAAATGCAACTATGAAAAAATGAAACTTTGAAACCGTGGCGTAACTTTCTGCTATAGAGTCCCCCATCCCCTGAACTGAAAGGAACCCCTTCTGACATTGGAGGAGGTGGCACAGTGCCAGTATGATTTCGCTATACTTCATTTTATGCATTGATATTAAAATTAAGTTTTTTGTCGTTTCCAGAGTTTTTCAAAGTACAGATGTTTTGTTTTTATTTGTCTAGAGCGATATGCGAGTAGAATCGGTGTAAAGTTCCGTAAACACTTGCAATTTTTATTGTGATTTTGGCGCGATTTTATTCTTCTGATGGATGGGAACGAGTGGATGAGCCACTGAATGTTCATATGCGGGTGGACATGCTTATCTAGTCGCTAGACATCGCGGCAAGAATTGCAACCCTAAACAGGTTAAAATCACTAAACATTTTCAACTTTGACACTCTTTCGTCCTAGCTCTGGGACCCTTTCTGGCTGGGGACTTTCACTGGGGCCCTTCCAGCAGGGGCTTTCGCCGGGCGACGCACAAAGCAGAAACGCTACTGTTAGAATTTGGCTGTAACGCAAGCATGACCGTTGCAAAGACCTAGAGGACACCAATCAAAACTATCTGATAATGCGTTATTCAAAATATCCAATTTACAATTAGCTGCTGTGTGTTTCGCGGCTATGTATTCTCGTAATAACGGTGAAAACATGGAATGCGAAGTTACAGCAAACCATCTGGGAGGGGTGACTAGAAATATGTCAGCTTTTCAGACCCTCACAAAACCCGAAAATTAACGCTAAATTGTGCACCTGAAATGCATAGTTTTCATGGTGAAATATTGGGAGATGGTACAACCTACTAGACTGCGAGCGGTTCCTCCTTTCCGCGGGTTTAGATTTCCGTGCATTCGAAAGGAAAGGAGGGACTGACGACAACAAATCAAGAAACAAAATACGCGTTGCCCACACAACGCAATAGTCACGTTGGTCGAAATCGATACGCCTGTCAATCAAATCTGATACGTAGTAATTATGTTATAAATAATTTCCAGACTGAATGTTGATTTTATAAGTAAACATGACTTTAACGGTTCCTATTGGATAGATTTAATTGGATATAAGTAATGTTTATGCAAAGGCGGAGCCAACTTGACAAGAGCGAAAAGTGGACGTCTTTCGTTTTTCGATGTGTTGTCGGCTGTCCCTCTTTTCTCCCGAGGGACTGTTCGCGGTCTAACAACCTACAGCCCTTTTTCATCCTTGCCGTGTTGCTCGTCACAGCCTCACATGATTTCTTTCTATGGTACCCATCATTGACACGTTTTTTGAGAATGTTAAATCAACTAGAAAACTGGAGATATCGTTGGTAGTTCTCGATAATGACGCTCTCTTGAAGAAGCTTAATGAATCCACAATTAACATTCACACTGTAGAGATTCAGTCAACGTGTAAGGTACACCAAGTTTTAAGAAATTATTCTTTACCGCCTTGTCTAGAAGTCCTACGTATTAATCAAAATAACTTGAATTTCGAGGACATTTCTGCTCTAGTTGAATCTCTTAGTAGCGTGAATGGCTTACACGAGTTAGATCTATCTCGTACTAAGTTTAAGGAAAGTAGCTTTTTTGCTTTTATATGCGTACTTGACATTTGTAAAGATCTAAAAAGTTTGATTTTAACTGATAATGGCTTAACTAAACAACAAATAACCGGCTTAATAACTCAGTTTGAATCGATGAGAAATCTTAAAAATTTAAATTTATCTAAAAACAACCTTACTGAAACACAAGCAAATGACATACTGCAGAAACATGGACAAGCTAAGAACATTATTTCTTTAGATTTATCACAAAACGCACTACATGGAAACGAAATTATCACTGGGACTTGTCAACTGCAATCACTCGAAGAACTAAATCTTTCTCATAACTACATCAAATTTTTTCCATTACCCAACTTCGAGGAAAAACGCAACAGTTTGTCAATAAGCACGAAAATCGTTTCATTGCCTTCCAATCACATGACGCCTGACGACATTTGCCAGCTTTGCTCTTTAATCAGATCAGACTTAGTGAAACTGGACTTAAATTTTAATCATGTTGGTAATTCCATTTGGTCGTTATGTTCACTAGGTTCAAGGATTAAGCATTTGAAAGTGTTAAGTTTAGCAAATACGGCTATTTGTGGTGCTATTGAAGGTTTACCAATTCTACTCTCTTTAGTGGAAGAAGTTGAAGAACTGAATTTATCTTTCAATAATCTTATGTTGATAGATTTCCATCAACTTCAATCACCCTTTTCAAACTTAACTCAATTGAAGAAGTTGAATTTAAGCATGAATGCTATTGGTCCAGATGGAATAAGAGCTCTTGCAAACATTTTCAAAACGTTTCCATTTCTAGAGTGGCTAGACATGAGTAGATCGTGTATCAAGGAAGATGAAATAAGTGCCTTGTGTAAGGGTTTAGTTCCGTTAAGCGCATTAAAATACCTGAATTTGTCAGGCAATAGGATTGATATTACAGTTTTAGATGATGCCTTGTTTTTACCTCTGACGTTGGAGGAGTTGATTTTTGGAGATATTCTTCATGGCGAAAAACTCTTCGCCGAAATGATACGGCTAAAAAATCTAAGAAAACTTCGTCTTAGCAAACTGAAATTAAGAGCTTGTGATGTTGAGGCGTTAGCTGCCATGCTGTCTTCTTTTCTGTTGTTGGAAGAACTATCTTTAGCCGATATTGTTGTTCAAGATTTAAAGTGTGAGAAAATCCTTAGCGCAATGAACTCGTTATCGAACATTAAAAGGATTAATCTTAGTGGTATAAAATTACTTGATGAAAATGCATTCCCCTATACGCTATCGTCTCTTTTGTCCTTGGAAGAACTAGTTTTAACTGACATGAATGTTGCGAACATGGGCTGTGAAAGATACATTAGTGCGATAAAATTGATGAAACATTTGAGAAAACTTAACCTTGATTGTGTAAAAGTGTTTGACGAGAAAGCTTTGTCTGAAATGCTGTCTTCTCTTTCAATTTTGGAAGAAATTGTGTTTCCTGATGTTGTTTTAGGGGATATTGATTGTATGACAGGATATTTTAGTGACAGGATATTTTTTATGACAGGATATTTTATTTTTAATCATTAAGATATCTGAAAAATCTTGATCTGCATTGCACTAGAATTTTTGTTTCTGGCGTAACGGAAGCTTTAACTCGCGTGTTACCGTCATTACAGTTGTTAGAAAAGCTAGTCTTGGGAAGAATTAACTTTGATGATGAATGTCAAAAACAACTGTTTGTTGCACTCGGACAATTGAAATACCTCAAGGAACTTAATTTATGCGAGACGCAAATTACCAAAACTGGCGCAGAAGCTTTAGCTGAGGTGTTACCGTCACTGCAGTTGTTGGAAAAGCTACAGTTGCATAGAATTGACTTTGATGGTAAATGTCAAAAAAAACTGTTTGCTGCATTCGGAAAATTGAAATTCCTGAACGAAGTTATTTTATGGGCGACTGATATTACCCAACCTGGCGCAGAAGCTTTAGCTGAGGCATTACCATCACTGCAGTTGTTGGAAAAGCTGGTGTTGCGATGTATTGACTGTGATGGTGAATGTCAAAAACAACTGTTTGCTGCACTAAAATGATTGAAATATCTGAAGGAAATTAATTTAAATAACACTCATATTATCCAATCTGGCGCAGAAGCTTTAGTTGAGGCGTTACCATCACTGCAGTTGTTAGACAAGCTGCAGTTGGGTAGAATTGACTTTGATGGTAAATGTCAAAAACAACTGTTTGCTGCACTCGGAAAATTGAAATTCCTGAACGAAGTTATTTTATGGGCGACTGATATTACCCAACCTGGCGCAGAAGCTTTAGCTGAGGCATTACCATCACTGCAGTTGTTGGAAAAGCTGGTGTTGCGATGTATTGACTGTGATGGTGAATGTCAAAAACAACTGTTTGCTGCACTAAAATGATTGAAATATCTGAAGGAAATTAATTTAAATAACACTCATATTATCCAATCTGGCGCAGAAGCTTTAGTTGAGGCGTTACCATCACTGCAGTTGTTAGACAAGCTGCAGTTGGGTAGAATTGACTTTGATGGTAAATGTCAAAAACAACTGTTTGCTGCACTCGGAAAATTGAAATTCCTGAACGAAGTTATTTTATGGGCGACTGATATTACCCAACCTGGCGCAGAAGCTTTAGCTGAGGCATTACCATCACTGCAGTTGTTGGAAAAGCTGGTGTTGCGATGTATTGACTGTGATGGTGAATGTCAAAAACAACTGTTTGCTGCACTAAAATGATTGAAATATCTGAAGGAAATTAATTTAAATAACACTCATATTATCCAATCTGGCGCAGAAGCTTTAGTTGAGGCGTTACCATCACTGCAGTTGTTAGACAAGCTGCAGTTGGGTAGAATTGACTTTGATGGTAAATGTCAAAAACAACTGTTTGCTGCACTCGGAAAATTGAAATTCCTGAACGAAGTTATTTTATGGGCGACTGATATTACCCAACCTGGCGCAGAAGCTTTAGCTGAGGCATTACCATCACTGCAGTTGTTGGAAAAGCTGGTGTTGCGATGTATTTACTGTGATGCTGAATGTCAAAAACAACTGTTTGCTGCACTCGGAAAATTGAAATTCCTGAACGAAGTTCATTTATGGAGGACTTATATTGCCCAACCTGGCACAGAAGCTTTAGCTGAGGCATTACCTTCACTGCAGTTGTTGGAAAAGCTGGCGTTGCAATGTATTGACTGTGATGGTGAATCTCAAAAACAACTATTTGCTGCACTCGGAAAATTGAAATACCTCAAGGAACTTAATTTATGCCAGACGCAAATTACCAAAACTGGCGCAGAAGCTTTAGCTGAGGTGTTACCGTCACTGCAGTTGTTGGAAAAGCTGAAGTTGATATGTTTTCACTGTGATGGTGAATGTCAAAAACAACTGTTTGCTGCACTCGGAAAATTGAAATACCTGAAGGAAGTTAATTTATGGGAGACTGATATTGCCCAATCTGGCGCAGAAGCTTTAGCTGAGGCGTTACCATCACTGCAGTTGTTGGAAATACTGCAGTTGTATAATATTGACTGTGATAGTGAATGTCAAAAACAACTGTTTGCTGCACTCGGAAAATTGAAATACCTGAAGGAAGTTGATTTACGGGAGACTGATATTGCCCAATCTGGCGCAGAAGCTTTAGCTGAGGCGTTACCATCACTGCAGTTGTTGGAAATACTGCAGTTGGATGATATTGACTGTGATGGCGAATGTCAAAAACAACTGTTTGCTGCACTCGGAAAATTGAAATACCTGAAGAAAGTTCATTTATGGAGGACTTATATTGCCCAATCTGGCGCAGAAGCTTTAGCTGAGGCGTTACCGTCACTGCAGTTGTTGGAAAGGCTGGAGTTGCAATGTATTGACTGTCATGGTGAATCTCAAAAACAACTATTTGCTGCACTCGGAAAATTGAAATATCTGAAGGAAATTAATTTAAATGACACTCCTATTATACAATCTGGCGCAGAAGCTTTAGCTGAGGCGTTACCGTCACTGCAGTTGTTCAAAAAGCTGGAGTTGTATGATATTGACTGTGATGGTGAATGTCAAAAACAACTGTTTGCCGCACTTGGAAAATTGAAATACCTCAAGACATTTGATTTAAGGATGACTGGTATTACCCAAGCTAGCGCAGAAGCTTTAGCTGAGACGTTACCATCACTGCAGTTGCTGAAACATCTGTTTGTGCAAAGTGTTGACCAAACTGGTGCAACCGCTTTAAAGTCTGTATTACCAACGCTAAGCTACTCTGAAACGTCTTCATATGTCGCGTGGAGTAGAAAGTGACGAAAATGAAACACCGTTAAGTAAACTGGTGGAATCGGCAAGCCTTGTTCCTGAATTAAGATGATGGCAGTAGACGCATGTCTTTATTTGTTGCTGTACTTTCTATTTTGATACAATGGTGCGTTTAGGTAGTATTACAGTAGTTTGGAACTTTATTTTGAAAGGACAAAGTAGAAACTCAAATTAATCTATTCGTTCCTATTGACCAGAATAATTACCAGCAGCGATCAATAGTTACAAATTTTGCCTTTGGTTGAAGAATGTATCAATGATGCTTATTCAATGATGTTTCTAATACTTTCAGCAACTCTATGATAGCGAGTTGCATTGCCATTGCGAGTCATAATTCTATTACGATATATTTCGCGTGCGAGGTAAGTCGACACATTTTTGGCTATTCATGCCATTGGTCGTAAACGACGAATTTAATTTATACGAATTCAATGCTTGACAGGTACCGGGACCCGGGATCCTAACTTAATTTACTTGCAAAATTATTTTAATTTATGCCAAATTTAATTCTTCCAATAAAAACTCTTGGCTCTAATTCTGTCAAATGCAGGGCCGTAGCTAGCATATATAGTTGGGGGGGGGGTGTAGGCCAAAAATTTCCGAATGACAAAAAAATGTCCGAATATTTCATGGCATACGAAGCCACGACATACAAAAATAGTAATATTTTACGCACAGACATATTAAAGTAGCATGCAGTGCCGTAGAAAGTTCTTTTTGATTGGGGGCTGAAAACGAGGGCCGAAGTCCCGAGGAAATTTTTAAATTTAGAGTCTCTGAAATGCCATTTCCTGGACTTTGGGGAAGTTTCAACAGAATTCTGATAGACATTAAACTAGCATGCAGTGCCGTAGAAAGTTCTTTTTGATGCGGGCTGAGGACGAGGGCCGATTGCCCGAGGAAATTTTTAAATTAGAGTCTCTGAAATGCCATTTCCTGGACTTTGGGGAAGTTTTGACAGAATTCTGATGGTCAGAAAACAGCGTTTTAGTATGTCGAAGTTTACAATTTGCTTACAATTTAGTAGTACTAAATTGGCGAAGGCGTATTTAATTAACTATAATTATTAATTGTATTGTCAGTATAAGCTGATTTACGAAATCATAGCATTTACATGGGATAACATTTAACAAATCGTAAATCGGTGTTTTTCGGTTTATTACTTCTCAGGGCCGTAGCAACGGTGGGGGACTGGTGGGCGTGCTGCAGCCACTGAGCTATAATATATCTGGAGGAAGTGCTCCTATCTCTCTTCAGTCAAGCAAGTGAAGCCAAAAACATGGCGGATTTTCAAGGATTTTCACGTTTGCTGACGCCAGAATGACGCCACTGGTCCCAAATCCTCGTGGTAATTACCACTGACCAACCGCGATCCTCGGCTTTTGACGACAATTTCACCCCCCTGGTTTTTGAAAAAAAGCCTGAAACTCTACTGAAAGTTTATATAAAAAAAACACATCAAGAAAAAATGCCGAGTTTTTGCATGGCTTTATGATGCCACAATTCTTTATCAAGAAGAAACACTTCTTTTTACTGGTAAGATGTATTAAATGCTTCATTTGTACTAAATAAATACCGTTTTTTGCAACAAAATTGGATACGAAATTTACAAATATTACGACGCTGTACATCAGCTGGTATTTTTCTGCCTTTACTCACTTTTCTTTATGTTTTATTTTGCCATTTGGGTCGGTTATAGTTTTTGTTTTCCTCTGGAGCCTTATCCAAAGATCCAACATCAATTTCACATACAGTATAGCAACAGAAATGCCTCAAAATGATGGACAAATGGCCTGTCAAGTCCCAACTTATCCTAGGGTTTAAATATATTGTCATAAGACTAGGAGGCCCAATATATGGTTGTAATGGGCACAAAACAGATCAAAACTGTTCCTAATAAGTGTTTCTGTAGGATTAAGTGTTGAATAAAAGCTTGCAAGGCTCACACTACCAATTTGAGTTGTGATTTTAATAGACAATTTTAATTTTTTTTCATGGCTAAGTGGCTAACAGTAGGAGGTGTAATAGACAGTGTTACGCCATTAACGTTGAACTTACAATGAATATATTTATCGAATATAAAACGTGATGACATGTTATGTCTAGACAATTGGGGGGGTGTCCAACTTGTCAATGTCAATGTCAATGTATTACATCCCCCTTCTTAAACTAACAAAATATTAATATAACTTTAATATGAACTGTTCGAATAATCGTGTCCGTGTTTATCTATAGGTAATAATAGTCCAGTTACTATTGGCAGGATAAGTTGAAAGTAACTCAGAAAGTTTGATTAAATCTATTTCATTTCATGACATAGTCTCTGTATTTTACTGGTAGCGCTGTGGTTCTCATTGGTCGTCCCTGATTAGGTGGGTTCTGGAGGTCTAAATCTGGTGGTTGTGGAATAATGGTCGGTTGTTCTTCACCAACATCCTCAGTTTGCTCTATTATGGTTGAAGGCGGAATGTTAGTCTTTAAAAGGTCACGACGGTTCCGTCTGTATTGTTGTCCATCTGATGTTGTGACGATATACGATCTTGGGGCAGGGGCCAGTCCAGATACGGTGGCCGGTACCCAGATACTGTCCTGGCGTAGGTGGATGTTTTCTCCAATTTCAAGTGGTGGTAATGGTTTGGTTGATTTGTCGTAGTTCTGCTTCTGCTGGTTCTGTCGTTGTTCAAGCTGCCGCTGTGCATTGATTGGCACTGCTGGTAGTAGTA